GTCCACCCAGTTGGGGGTGTCAGCCACCCACCCCCCCAAACCCGACCAAGACACTGCTGCGTTAGAGGTGCCACACAGACCCTCCGTCCATGCCCCCCACCCCCCACCCCAGCCGTGCTCTGGTGTCTGACCGCGGTCAGAGAGCTTGCGTGTGTCTGTCTCGTCATGAAGGTCCGTGGAGAGGTGCTTTGGGGACCTCAGACAGAAACCTCACCGTGGGTTTGCACTCTGGCTAATCTGGGTCTGACAGGTGCCATCTGGAACATCCTTCCGGCCCCTGGTGGTCAGCTGGTCCAGAGCCACGGCTGTCACGGGAAGAACACAGATGAGCCCCAGTGAGCAGCCTCCACAGAGGTGCCAGGCAGGCCCCCTAGAGGCCACACGAGGCCTCGCTCTGCTGGGCACAGGGGGCCCGGAAACCCACCCGGGGCTCCTGAGACCTTGGGGAGACTTGGGTCAGGAACCCAGTGAGGCCAGACAGGTGTCCCTGCTACGGACCCTCTGTTGTCCTCCCAGCCCAGGTGGTGCCCGAGGGTGTCTGTTGATGTATTGTTCCCTGGAAACCCCACCCAGCGTGGACCAGGGGTCTCGACGGATGGGGGGTGGTCCCTGAAAACTCCCTTTGTCTCTCACTGTGGACGACACTTGGTACATGGAGGGCAGGGTGGGCCCGGACACACAGCTACCGGGTTAAGGGGACCGGATTCTGGGTGGGTGGAGCAGGTTGGAATTTCCAGGTTGGCTTCCATAGCGACCCTCAAGTGGCGCCCTCTGGTGGCGGGGGTGGTCAGTTCCAGCTCATTGGGAGAAATGATGGGTTCCATCGGCCTCGCTGATGTGGGGCTCCTGTTTCTGGTTTGAGTCTCTTGCACCCGTGTTGGAACTCTAGACTGGCGGGTTGTTACTCTGACGCTGGGAGTCCCTGTGGCAGAGTCTTAGGGAGAAAAAAGAGGCCACTGTACTTCACAAACCTAGGGAGGGTGTCCGAGCCCGATCGTGCTGACTGTGGAAGAAGGTTCTCTGGGAGCCAGCTGGGGGCAGGGAGATGGTTTTCCGAGGAGCCAGGGTCATTGGGGCATTCTTAAGGGGGGCGGGGGTGGCCTTTTTCTGCCAAGGGCCATTTGGATATTTACATCATCTGTGGGCCACGCAACATTACCAGCTTAAACATGATGTTGCAGTGAAAAAGTTCCCAGATGTAGTCCCGCCTGAGGTTGCCTTGGCAGGGCCAGACCAGATGACATGGCCCGTGGGCCGGAGTTTCCCCGCCCCTGCTTTAGAGACCAGAGGAAGTCGGAGACTTTTGACCTTTCCGTATAGAAATCCAGCTCAGTGTCAGAGGCAGCCCAATGGCGGGGGTGGGGGTGGTGGGGGGAGGCTGGGAGCATCCAGGGGAGTGGACAGTAGGTGGGGGCCTGGGGGACGAGAGCAGGGGTGGCCCCGTCACTGACGGGGCTACAAGTGACTTCGAATCCCCCCAGGAAGGGCCATTGCTCCCCTGGCTGTTACAGCGATTTTTACAAACACACCTTCACCCACATCGCCTCCCCATCCGCCCCACGAGGACTGCAGGGCTGGCTTCTGTCTCCCCATTTCCCCAGGTGAGAAAACCGAGGCCCGGTGTTTCAGATTCTCAGCTACGAAGGCAGACCCGAGAGTCAGATGCCCTGCCCCTCAGCCCAGGGCACTTGGACATTCCCTGCCCCGTGGGGCTCACCCACCCTGGGCTGTCCTCACAGGCGGACAGACATGCGGTCAGGGGGCCAAGGAGGGTTTCTGAGCAAAGGACAGGGTGTTGGGAGAAGGGGGGAGGGGAGCGATGTCATTTCTTCCCCTCGAGCGGGTGGCCAGGGAGGAAGGGACGACGTGGCTGCTGTCTTTTGGTGACAAGAGCAGCTCTGGGGCAGTGGGTGTGAGAGCGGAGTCTGCTTGGCTGAAACGAAGGGTCAGGGAAGCCGCGTGTCCGAACAGGGTGCCCGGAGGGAGAGCGCCTGCAGCTTTTCCGCCGCCTCCGCCTGTGGCCCCTCTGCCTCCAGACGTGTCCCCCAGACGAATGGGTGATGCGGTGCTAGCTTAACCAACGCCAAACCAACGCCACGGTGCTGCCTCGCGGCGGAAGCTGGCTCCCCAGCCTGGGGTGGGGCAGCAGAGGCACCCGGAGGCCCTTGGAAGTTCTCGGGGAGGCGTGGGGAGACCTAGGTTCATCCTCCACCCCCGCGTAATGTGCTTTCTCATAAGTAAGGCTCGACTTCTTCTTCACGCCCCCCCCCTTTTTTTTATAGCAGAGGTTACCCGGGATAAGGGTGCTCCTGTGTATTGTACATGACACTTGATACTTTACAAGACGTTTAGAGAATTATTTTCCACGAAATGTACAATATCTGTTTAAGAGCATCGTGGTAACATCTCCTCACAACGTCCAGTTATGTGGCATCCACCTGTCAGCTGGCCTTCGTTCCAGATGCCAAGGAGACCGAGGAGACGGGAGTGGCCCACTCGTGCCAAATATCCTGCTGGATAGACATCCCCAAAGCTGCCTTAATTCTCAGAGGGGGTTCCTGCCCGGGTGGGAGGATCCGTTTTGCAGCCCCGGTAACGCGAGGCTGAAGCATTCTTACCAAAGAAGTCATTTCTTAGCCAAGAGGCCCCCCGAGCTCATTTCATTTGTTTATTTCCTTTGAAAGCCTGGGATGGAGAAGAACAGAGAGGGAGTGTGGGGCGGCGGAAACGGCACAGCATTTAGAGTTGCAGCTGACCAGCTGGGTTCCTGGGAGAGGGGGTGCATTTTAAGTTCTTTGCCCATAAAAGCAGGTTTGGATCAGATAATCAAAGGTCCCATCCAGTGTAGAAAGTTTCATGCCTCCCTGACAACGTTCTTGTGCTCAGTTTACAACGAAGGAAGCCCGTCGCTTACGATAGAACTTTCCGGATGATCTGGTGACTTAATAACCTGTGGAGCAGAGAAAGGTCAGCTACCTGGCCTCCAGAATTTTGTTTGCTTTTTTTTAGACATTCAGCACTTTCTCCCATATTTCTTCGCCTGATGCCAGAAACACTTGGTATTTGAAAAATAAAATCCAACCCTTTTGTTTTGAGGACTTGGAAGGAAACCCGTGGCCGTGACCTTGTAAGTCCCGGGATCCACAGGTCTGTGGCTACGGCCACAATCGAGACGTGACCAAACTACGGGTGCCCTTGAACGTGCTCTTGGGGTGCCCGCCCTCGCCCCTCTGTTTCTCCACTTCCGTGTAAATAAGGACAGTCTCAGTGGTGCCCTCTCTGTGTCATGGACTGTTCTGACGTCATGCAGATTTCTATGTCTGGTGTGGGTTTATTTCACAAGCTGTTCTCTTCATGGAAAAACAACTGTATAAATAATAAAGGATATTCCTGTGCCATGGATCTGCTAGTAGCGTTCTTTCTGCCATGAGTGTAAAATGCTATGAGTTGCTGAATTTTTCTTTTAAAAAAAGATTTTAAAAATTGATTTTGAGAGGAAGAGAGAGAAAAATTGATGTTTTTAAAAGAAAAATTCAGCCCTAGAAATGGAAAAAGCAAAACTAGATAACTAACCTGGTGTCACTTGGTCTGCACTTTCCATTTAAATATAAATGTGTCCATTTCAGAGCTAGGAGGAGAGATCTAAACCCCTTCAGTCTCTCGCTCCAAGGGCTATAAGAAGTTATTTGGGTGAAAGGTGGGCCACTATGACCAGAGGCTCTTCTGTACCAGTTGGGGGCTGGTCAGAGACAAGCCTCTGCGATTCATAGCAGAGGAGAAGCCCACGTGTTTGCTAATTAAAGGCCAGCTGGGTGTGTTCGCCTCGTCCAAGGTGCTGACTGATGTTCCTCGGGTCTCAGTCCTGGGGATCCTTGGCTGTGAGACTGGGGTGCCCCCAACCTCCCTTTGAACAAGGCTGGGCAACTTGAAGAATTAGAAAGAGAGCAACAAGAAAAGCCCAGAGTGAGCAGGAGGAAGGAAATAAGTGACATAGAGACTAAAAAACAGCAACAAAAAACCAAAAGATCAATGAAGCCAAGAGCTGGTTCTTTGAAAGGATAAACAAGATTGATGAACCTCTAGGCAGACTCACCAAGAAGCAAAGAGAGAGGACCCAAATTAACAAAATCAGAAACAAAAGAGGTGAAGTAACAATAGACCCCACAGAAATACAAAAAATCATAAAAAAAAAATACTATGAGCAACTTTACTCCAAAAAACTGGTCAACCTAGAAGAAATGGACATATTCCTAAAAAATACAACCTTCCAAAACTCAACCAGGAGGAATAAAAAAATCTGAATTAGGCCGATAACTATGGAGGAATTGAAGCAGTAATCAAAACTCTTCCAACGAACAAAAGCCCTGGACCAGACGGCTTCACAGGGGAGTTTTACCAAACATTCAAAGAAGAAATAAAACCTATCCTCCTCAGACTATTCCAAAAAATTTAAGAAGGAGGAGCACTTCCAAGCTCTTTCTACGAAGCCAGCATCACCCTAATCCCAAAATCAGATAAAGACACCACAAAGAAAGAGAATTACAGGCCAATATTTCTCATGAACCTTTGACCTTTGACCCTTGACAACTGACCTTTGACAT